TCAAAAATAGAAGTTTATAAGTACAAGAGGAAATGCCTCTCACTCGGTGTTGGGTTGTCAACTCAAAGTAAACAGCCAGAACAGGAAAGAATTTTTGGACAGAAAATAAAATACTGCTTTCCTAGATTTCTACCATTCACCTTACTCTTCAGTCTGTCTTCCTTCTCCGCATTCCTGTTTCACTTGCCTAATCTTTTGTCTCTGGGAAAGAAGACTGATAAAAGACATGGTGCTCTATAGGCTTGTTAAAATGCTTGTCAAACTCAGCTTAGCCTAACCTGAGGTGCCGGTGGAAATGAAGGTAAGTTTCTTCTTTTAAAATATTTTTGGTGTTCTTTAAACCTTACACAGTTGATCATTTTGAGTAGTTATATGTCATATCATTTAGATGTATCATCACATGCCTTTCACTATACCTTTCTAAGAGACTGAATTTCCTGCTTTTTATGTGCTATAGAGATTTTGATTCATGTGAAATATAATTCGAAGGGAAATCACATTATTATTGCTTTCCCCTTCTTGCACAAATAAGAAACCATTCTGGTAAGCTTAAGGGACTAGGGTGCAGGTATTGCCCCCTTACTACCTACCGGTCTACCCCAAATAAAAACAAGTTTGTAAATGTCACCCACCCTTGTTTGGAAATAGCACTTGGTGCAGATGGAAGGAATATCTACTGCCTGTATATGAGCAAAACCATCTGGTTTGGTTGATTTGGTCAGGTTGCAGAAATACATAGACAAACTGGTATATTGGGACTCTCTTATAGTTGTGGGGTGATATTGCTCCTGGGGGGAATAACCCATTCATGTAATATGAACAGTCTGCTAGAAAAAAAAAATAATTAGGCTCAAAATAATTAAAATCCAAAATCCACCTGTGAAGGTGTATACCTTTAATAATGCTCAAATATAGGTCTCTTTTTCCCCATGTGCACACCACTTCCCTATCTTCTGGAAGAGGCAAAAAATCTACTAATATCTGAGTGTCATCTTCCTCCAAGCAATCAGCAGTGATTTCTCAAAGACTCTTGTCCTCTTATTTTTTTTTTCATTTTGATTTCATTATTAATTCTAGCTTCTGAAAGAAATAATACTTCCATACATTGACTGTAGGAGAGATCAAGAAAACAAAAAAAACCCACATCCTTCCTCTGATGTTTCTACTCTCTATCTCCACTGATTAGAGAATTAGACCCTCTTCTGTGAGATGAGGGCTCGATCTAGCATGGACATTGGGGTGGTATCTTCCAAAGTTTTCATTAAAAGCTCTGTTCTGTAGTAATAAGCAATTTGCTATTCCACTTCACTACTTTATCTCAGAAATCTTCATCTGTAATTTTGTTTCTTTACCCCAGACTTGGGTTTCAATACCTGGAAAATTCAACTACAGGGTGTCAGATAAGTTATTACTTTTCTGTATTAGAGCAAATGCATTGAACTATTCAGCCTACAGGTAATTGAAGGGCTGTTTTGTGATTAATAATTATTACTTCAACTATAAAAGAAACATGCATCTGATATACATATATCCAACACATATGCTTAACTGCAGATCATATTTTTCACTAGCTGCTGAGAAGAAAATGGACAATGCAGGAAAATTGACAGCTTTGAGATTTTTATTTTTAAAAATAAAAATTTTAAATTTTTATTTAAATTCCAAGTTAGATTCCAAGTTAAAAAATTAGTTTCTCCGTCTTCTTTTCTGGACCACTCTTTTCTTACAGCAAAGAACATCATATTCATTCTTTGGCTGTTGCTGCTTCACTGGATTTTTGCTTGGGTCTGCCAGGAAGTCTGCCCTAGACTTGATCCTCACGCTTAAAAACCTCAAAGTTTGTTTCAACTTTCAACTTCAGTTTACATCTTACATCACTTATCAGCCCTGACTTGTGCTTAGGCTGCAGATTAGATTTGCTCTTCCTCTCTATTTGCCTATATTTCCAGCTGAGTTTAAACATCACTTTCTCTCTAGTAGGATGAATTGACCTTTTGGGCTTGATTAAAGATAAATGCCATTGACGCTCCACTTTGGGAGGCTGAGAGTGTTTCAGAAGCTCACTGAGATTTCTATATTTATTGCTTAAAAATGAATCTTGAACAATACTCCTTCAATGTGAGTTTAACTGAACGGGTATGAATCTTTTTTCTTCCTACTCTTGGAGTAGTCAGACTTAAAAGGGCTGGAGGTTTTAAATGTAACCAGACAGTGGGGCATCAGAGGTTTCAGTTATTTTCTTCACATTATCGGTGCTAGGCTCTTCTATCCTAAAGTTTTAGGTCAAATGGACAGTTAAATACCTTGGTTTGAATCTGATCACTGTAGGCATTTTGAAGACACAGGAAGGATTGAAGTATCTGCAAGACTTCCACAGACCTGGGCCTCCCTGGTGGCATAAGGGTTAAAGTTTCAGCCCTATCAAGCTATCACCAGCCACTGCAGTGTGAGTTCGATTCCCGGCCAGGGAGCTCTACTCACATATGGTGCAGCAGACCTCTCCTGCCTTGCCTGATGCTCCCCTCAGCAGTGTATTTCAGTAGATCTGCCTGTTCTGCTCCCCACTCTGTCTCTGGTGAATCCTCTCACCCCCCACACCTCTGGCCACATTCCAGTTCTTGTTTGACTAGTAATAATAATAATAATAATAATAATAATAATAATTTTTTTAAAAAAAGATGAAACACAGACCTGAAGCAAACTGGTGTGCAATCCCTGTGGTTAATAAGAGAGGGATATAACAAAGTCCTTAAACTGTGTTTGTGTTAGTATCTCTCCCCTTAGCTTGTCCCCATCATGAGAATGAAGTGACATGCAAAAATCACCTAAAGGACAGATGGCATCTGTAGGAGATGCTTTAAGCTGCCTGTGATTTTAACAGGTCTGTCTCCATAGCCAGTATTTTCTGCATCTTTCTTTACTGTCTCCTTTCTTATGGAAGCATTTTCATGTAGAATAAAGTGGATAAAAGCAGAAAAAAGCAAAGGCAGATTTGTTTCTTCTGAGAACATTTGTTCTTGCTTCAAAGCTCCCACATGATGTGATCCTTTTCGTCCTCTGCCAGCAGTTTGTTGTAGAGCCACTGTTACATCAATCTTAGACCTGGATTTAATGAGATAGTGAACAGTGCTACCTAATGGGGTGCAATGTAGGAAAATTCCCATTATATGTGGGCATTTTAGATAATATTAAAGTCTGGCATACTCATACAGTAAAAGAAGCTAAGATTGATTGTGAAATGGCTTATTATAGAATTATTTCCCCCCAGGATTCACTGATCTTATGGCATCATTACTGAATTTGGGATTATTTGTTCCACTCTGAGTTTTTTCACCAAATTCTCTGGATTCCTGTTCCATTGGGGTTCCACTTGGGGTGTAGGTACATTTTGAAATTTTTAAAATACAGATTACTTGCTATATAAATTGTAATTAAAAGAAACAGTACTCTTCAAAAATCTGTTTGTTTTTCAAAGAGAAAATTCCCCCAAACTTCCATTACTATCATAATTCATATAACTAGAATTAAATAGGAACAGTCATAATTCAGAATTAAAGGTTGCAGTTTAAAATTGCCTACTTTAAAGTGTCTCTACTCAGGTGAAACTCTTTAAAAAATTTTCTTCCCAAAGAGTTTATAATATCTTCTGTTTGGAGGGAGGTGGAGGATGCAGGATAGTGAATAGTGAAAACTCCACAAAAATTCTTTCAAATTTACTTAAATAAAAATATATTGACTTTCATTGGTGATTTCCAGACAAATAAAGACCTATGCAGGCATCAATTATTCAGTGGACATTCATTAAACAATGGTGTTCCTGTAAGGTAGAGCAATGCATATGATCTTCTGAAACATTTCAGATGGATAATATCCATAGAGATGCATTCGACAGTTATATGTGTTCATATAATGAACACAACTTATTTCCAGAGATAGGATTTTTTCTATCTTGATTGACTACTCCAGGAAGATGTCAGTATCTTTTTGCATGGACTCAGCTACTCACACAGAGAGCAAACTTGCTCTAAGCCCTCTGGTTCTGTGCAATCTTCTTTGTCTTTTAATTTTAAATCTCAGTTCAGTGGTGAATGAAACATGGTGTTTCCCCCTTTTGACTGGGAAAATTGCTTTAATGCCTTAATGTCTGTCTTGCCAGTTTTCACCCTTAAATACTGTAATTCCATGTTGCACTGGATTCTTCCTGGAATTCAATTGAACATCTTTTCGAACATCTTAAGCAGGGATCTTTTGAGATGACTCGGTTTATTCCTTTACTGGGTGGTGCTTTCTACAGAATATTCTTTTGCTCTAAAAACATTCAATTTTTTAATTTTCTATTATTCCACTTTTTATGTCTTTGGATCTTTTTTGGAGGATGATAAATAATGAGATAATTCTGAAACCCCTCACATTCCCTTCAGGAGCATTATTTATGATGGTAATCCTTGACATTTTTATTATTATTGTGATGATTGTGATGATGGTCACTGAGTTCTGGTAGGACCAAAGGATAATGGCATATCAAGTTAAGAGCATAGATTGCACTGTTCTCTTCTCATCCAATGGTGGTACTCTCCAAAATTCAGACTGGTGTATTATGCATACATGACTAAATGATTCTAGAAAATGTTTGATGAATTTCCTGTATTTTCAAGAAATTCATCTAAACTCTAAGACTTGGGCAAACAAAATGATAGCTGAGGACCGTTTTCCATTAGTGTTTCACTTACTGCCACTGGCATTTTAAAACTGTGGATAAAGAAGGCACTTACTTCTTTCACTGTTTAGTTATTGCCCCCAGTATTGGAATTGAGGCTTTTGCATTTGGGAAGTCTTATGGAGGATCCTTTTGGAACAGTGACACTAGGATGAGCTTGGGGTGGGGGAACAGTTCCTTGAATGCTACTGGCTCATGTGTGCCAGTGTGGCTTTGACAACTCTGATGCCACAGCACAGCTCTCAGATCTGATTCTAACTTGGACACTTACCGTCGTCCTTAGGCAAAGGACCTGAGACCCTGTATGCGGGGCAGAAGCTCAACGACAATGAGTGGCACACCGTTCGGGTGGTGCGGAGAGGAAAGAGCCTTAAGTTAACCGTGGACGATGATGTGGCTGAGGGTGAGTACTTCCATGGGGACACTGCTTTCTCTTTGTGCTCTAGGTCGTTAAGTAATCAAAGGGCTTCTGCCAACTTTTATTTTGCTTGATGGTCACATGTCCTATTCAAGTAGACCAAGAAGCTCCTTCTCTATGATATTTTCATTAATCTGTGTTGTGGGATTTACCCTCTTCCGCAATGATATGTTGATGGGGCTTCTCCTTAGGCAGAGAGGATGTGAACAGCTGTAGGGTTCTGCAGGTCCTTCTATTGTTATTCACACGTCACTTGTCAATCATCTTCCCAAGTACTAGTCCCTTCCCACAATGAGTGAGTCACTCTCTGGTAGAGGAGATGGATAAACCAGAAATTCAGAACATTATGGAGCAAAGTAAGTATCTTGGTTAGTGTGTGATACTTACAAAGTGCTGAATAATTAATCATTTACTTAATCATTTACTTAATCATTATTTATTGAGTACCTACTCTGTACAAGCATTGCTCTAGAGGGCATTGGGAACATGTTGGTAAACAAGTGGGCAAGTCCTTGGCTGGTGGAATTTATAGTCTTAGGAGGGCAATGAATGCACACATATGTAAAGAAACAGTCAAAACCTCACACAAACACTAAGTATTTCTTGAGCCTGTCATATGTCATCAGTGTGTTGGAAATTGTAGATGATACTAAGAAAACACAAGTGACTGCCAGTTACATCATAGGACAAATGAATCTAGATAAGAAGGATTATAGTGAGATTCTGATTTGGATAAGATGAGAACACCAGAATTTTTAATCAGAAGAGGAAATTATCAGTTTGGGTTGGAAAAAGCTGGAGAGGTTGATGAAGGTAGATCTCCAGGCAGAATTTGGTGAGTGTCATTAATAGGATCAACAATAAAAGCTAGAGGGCTTCCAAGTTCATCTAACACACCACCTCCCTGAAGTCTACACTCACTAAGATTTCAGAGCAGTGCTCATCTGTTATGCACAATTCTTGTCCACTAGGGACAGAAAACTTGGGGCAATATGGGTACTGCCTGGACCTTGTCAAACAAGTCAGTGTCCTGAGCCATGTCTGCAATTTCTTGCATGGGTAAGACTGGTTTAAGTTAGGAGCCCTGGGGTTTTATATAGCTACTGTCCCTAACGTGCTTTCTGCCTTTAGAGCAGCAATGCTAAACTTTTTTTCCTCATTTCTATACTTGAATTATATTATTGCTAAGGCTCTTTCAAGCATAAAGCTTCTGTAGTTTTGGTTCAAGTAATTTTATATTCAGGAGCCTGAACTTCTATTCGTCTAGAGTCACCAATGATAGTGCACCATGTATGTATGTGTACGGGTGTGTCTGTGTCTATGCATGTATGTGTGTGTAGAAAGAGAGTGAAAGAGCCTGGAAAATTGAATCTATGGTCGAGGAAGAACAGTTGGCATTAGATGCTGGCTTAACTGTCTTACATATTTCAGTTCCTTAACTCTTCTATCATTCCCTATTGCCTTGCAAGGTAAGTGTTCTTATTGTCATTTATATAGGTGAACATGAAAGTTAAAGGAATTGTGTGATTAAACTCCAAATTCATGTTTGACTGATTTCAACACAAGGGACTGCTTGTTGAATTTCCCAGTCCATCCTAAGAAAATGATTTGTCTTAAAATATACAGAAAATATAATGAAATGTATTGCGGGGATACATTTGGAAGGTAGACTACCTTTACCACCTTCCCTCTACCCAATGGATCAAACAGAACCGCAAGATGTAATATACTCTAAAATTGTAAATAGAGATAATTTAGCCTCCTGTAATGAATGTAAGCAAGCTAGGAGACAGAAAGATGGCTATATGGTCTAGAACTCACAGCTGTCCTGAGTTAATTATATGAGACATTCCCTTGGGCTGGCAGTGCAGACAGGAACCTGCAAGGCAGAGATGATGATTCAAACTTCCTTGTAAATCCTCTGGGTTTAGACCAGTAGAGCAGAGTGACCCTGTTGTTTGCGTAGGAGCCACTAGATGGCGACCTCAGCCCAGTCTCCCTTGGCAGCCAGTTCCTTTGATTTCTATAGAAAATTATCCAGGGAAAATTATCCACCCTGAAAAGCACAGACATAAAAACTGCAGTACTGGGGATTGCCGTGTGTACGGCCTTCCTCTGTCTTTATTCTTTTACAGAACCTTTAGAATGAAGGTAATTATAAAGTGTGCTTTCTCTTACCACTAATAATTAAAAAGCAGGACTACACCATGGAATGCCTCAGTCATCTAGTAATTTGAAATTTGGAATTAATGAAATGCTTTCATTTGCTACATTACCCCCTATGTTGCTGCTGATAGGAAAAAAATCAGTCATAATGACAAAGAAATTTGGAAGAAGAAAAGAACTCTTTTGCTTCTGAGGTACAACCTTGGGTGGCTTTTTACAGTGATAAGGGGTTTGGGAATTTTAATTTTAGCTCACAGAAGTCATAAAATCAGGCAAATGAAACTAAAATACCACACAGTCCTCAGGTTATTAAGTAGTGTCTTATTGGCTTATTTAGTAATCCCTTTCATGCTGTTTAAGGCCCCCCAGGGTGTCAAATTTTCAGCTAGTTTGCAGAAATGATGCAAATAATAGGTCAGACTCATAAGAAATCAAAAGCGAGGAAAGAAATATCCTTCAACCTGGTGGTTCTCATTTATTATAATATAATGTATTCCTGGAAAGGTATTAAGTTCAGTTGACAGTTAATAAGAATTGATTGATTGATTGATTGATTGAACTGGATTTCTATTATCAAGAATAAATTAAAAGAATACCTCACTGGGGTTGTGCTCAGAATCGGAACCTAATGCTGTGTGAACTACCCACTCCACCTGGAACGTCTCACTAGCACAGAACTTCCCCCTCTACTTATGTTGACTTCTCTCTCTCCTTCCTGCATCCCACCCAGCACACATGTGGTACCAAAGTGTAAAGAGTCATTTTTCAAAGAAAATTTGTTTCATTCCTTACTAAAAAAATGGTAAGCTAAATTTGGGAAATGTTAGGTCAAACAAAACAAAGTGAGTTTTTCTGTTGCAAGACTTATTAGGAGCTTTTAAGGTGCTAATGCACATTGCTAATCAGCGATAATTAAGCAGGCAGTGTTCGCTAAATTTGTTTGGCTCCAGACCTCTTTTATTAAAACATTTTACAGAACATACTTTGAGAAAATGTTGATACCATGGAGGAAAGGATCTGAGAGTGGTGGAACCGGAGGATGGTGGGCAAAATGGTGCATCATTTACTGAGACTATATAAACCTTCATTTTCTCACCTTCTCTCCCTTGCCCAGAAACCGTGGAGCGCAAGTGGCCCCCTCTAAGCCCATCCATGATTTCTATGCTAAGCTCTTAGTGTTGGTGAAGAGCTTCATGTGCAGAAATGATGGTGCAAACTGACTCCAAGACATCTGTTTTAAATCTGCCTTCTGCAGGACTTAGGGATGCCTGCTGTACTCTGCTCCACACGATGGGGCATCTAGAAGAGGCAAGATGTGGTCACTACTTCAGGGGGGATTGTATTCTAGCAGAATAGAGAAAATGGAGAAAGAACAAGAAAATTGCTAACATATTTCAGAGAAAGAAAAAAAGACTACTGTATAGTTAATAATAGCTGAGAGTGTGAGCACTGGGTAGGGTTCTTTATACATATGTATGTATGCATATATATATATATTATATATATATATATATATATTCACATTTAGTTTAACTTCATTCCTGTTTCACAAGATGGAAAGCTGAGACACAGAAAAGTTATGGAACCCAGACATCCCAGTCTCCTACACCATATGCTAATGCCCTTAGAAAGTTACAGTTTGCACACAAACATTATTTTCCATAGGTTTATATTCTCAACCAACTCAATTGCTCTGAGGACTGCTCTGCATGCTGCTCGTTGTATTTGAATAGGAGCCAAAGCAATGTGGCTGTTCTGGAGCAGGTGCTGGTTCCTTAATCCATGAGTTAGATGGAGTGACATTAGGATAGTTGATCCTTGATATGAAGGATGAATTCATCACAGTATCTTCTGCATGGAAATTTCACCAGTGAAATCCCAGATGCAGCTTTTCTTGGGCAGTCATGTAGGGGATGAGTCAAGCTCTTTCTCTAAAGACTATTGTGTAGAAAAGCTGGCCTTTGCAATTAAATTCATTTGGGTTCCATTTGCAGTTCTAACACTTAAACTACCTGCATGATCCTTGATCGTGTGACTTAATCACTTTCAGCTCAATCACTTCAGCTCTGAAGCAAGAGAATGTTACTTAGGTACTGTTCATTGGTATAATGACAGTGATGGTGATTATGAAGTGCCTAGAATGTCACCTGGCATATAAAGACTATTAACTAGATTTCACTGTCTTATCTTTTGAATTACTCCTCTTTATTCTGAAATTTGAAAGTGGTTGCTGTGATGTACGCTTGTTTCTGTCCCTTCAATTGAAAAGCATTTTGGTCTATGGACAGCATTCAGAGAAGGGGAATGAAAAGTCCCTTGGATACCAATTTTGATTGGGTGATACTAAAAGATTTCAAATATGCGTTTGCTTAATTTGTCACCAGTTTCAAACTTTAAGTAATCTCTTCAATGCTTTCTCCAGATGCAACAGCATACTTGTTTTTTGGAACCTACATCCACAGCAAAATGAGTTTCTTTAGCATATGGTGAAGCCAATGCAAATTTGCATTAGAAAATACAAATTTTCTAATTTGACCTTTGATCCCCCATCTACGTCCTATAACCTCCTGACCCCCAACTTCTAGCTGAAGTGTTCTGAATCATCCCAAACTCTAAATCAGTCTGTGTCCCTGGGTTCAGATCTCAAATTCCATAGTTACTGTCCCTTTTCCTGCTTATCTAAGTCCTTCTTTGGTCTTTTTTTCTTAACCAAAACCATACATATTTTCTTGCTCTTTGAAATTCATTTCCCAGTGAGCAGAGTTTTCTAACCTCTCAATTCTGGAGGTCAGCATATCATAATTTTTCTAAAAGCTCCCAGTTGACATCAAAATCCCCTCTCTGATTCCTTTTGGAAACCTAATCTTCACCAGGAATCACCCCATTATCACTTCTTGGTTCTCATTGCCTATGTCTTTATTTATTCTTGTAAAATAAGAATTAGTATGACTACCGCATCATCATAGTTCAGTTCCTCTGTTTCTGTTCAGATTGTCTATAGCTTCCCCTCCCTATCATCCTCAAGCTTCTGTCCACATCCTTAGGCTGACTGGCTATAGCAAAATTGACATTGGGAATTTAAGTATTTCAGCCACTGCATTGTCTTAGAGCATGCAAATTTTACCCTTTGCTACCTTGCATCTTGATGATCAATCCAATTTTCAGTACTAAGTAATTTTATACAATCCTAGGTTATTCAATTATTAGCAGATTTATGTTTCATTTTGATTTTGTTCTATCACAATTTTATATTTAAGTTAAGCAGCAACATTTTACTTTTGCTTGTATTAAGAGAAAGATCTGTCACAAGTTGTCAAAACACCACACTGATGCTCACAAAATGTAAATCTGATTTTTGTGCTTGTGAGTTTCTTGGAATTAGCTCTGAGTAGTTTCCCAAAAAGATGAAATCAGAATTGAGCATTTGAAAGTGTGAGCTGGCTGAATCCCCCAGGTATTTAAGTTTAAGGGACACAAGAAAATGTAACTCCCACCCAACTCTTTATTTTACTACCTGAGTTCTATGGCAATAGAGAAAAAAATCATGCAAGGCAGGTGAACGTCGAAGGTCACTTTTATAAGTGGTGATGCTGTTAATGAAAAAAGTGACTTATCTAGTAAACTTCAGAATTAGACATAATTGTCCAGTGTCTCACTACCTAATTCAGTACTGGGGTGGGCATCTTCCACCAAAGAAGGCTTGCTTCTCTGACACCTGCTGTGGATGGGTGGGGTACATAGGTGTTTCATGTCAAGAGAAACAGGAAGTGCCAGGCCCAGCTATGCACATGCACTTTCTCTTTGCAGGTTATTCTTAATTCTTAATTTTTCAGCAGCTCTGGCCTTTCGTACTCCTTTAGCAAGCCAGCTTTGCACTCCCTTATCACTGAGAGTTATAAGAGAGAAACAAAGATGCTAAGGGCTATCTTGCTAGTGGAGTTTCTTCAACAAGGGAGGTAATAATAGGAGGGCAGAAATAAGGAAATTCTCCTTCCTCTCCCTCTAATGGGTCTTTAGGACTCCTTTGCTACATTTTAATGTTATTTCTCTATATAAAGGTTGAGGGAACCACTTTCTACTCTAGCCCTGATGTCGTCCTTGCTTTGTTACTAAAATTTCCAGTCACTGTTTTTTCTTTTTAAGATTTATTTATTTTATTTATATATGCACTGGGTACAGTCAAAAGCACGGGAAGGTGAGAGAATTCACTAGAGCCAGAGTGGGGAACAGAACAGGCAGACTGACGAAGTACACTGCTGAGGGGAGCAGCAGGCAGCAGGAGAGGTCTGTGCACCATGTGGGACCCTCGCCGGTGGCTGGGGATTGAACCGGCACTTCAGAGGCTGCGGGCAGCTTCGCAGCCCAGTGCTCGACCGCTGCACCACCGGGGGAGGCCCAGTCACTACTTTTTTCAAGTCCACTTCATTACCACTGCTCCTGTCCCTCACCACTTGCAGGTTAAAGGAGTTAATGAAATGTCTAAAAGATAATGTGTATCAGCTGGAGGTTGGTTGCAACTGTTAGACTCCATATCAAATGCTTTAGGCACAGAAGGGAATCTGACACTGCAGTGTTTAAAAGTCTGGAGTTGGCCGACTCTTCCAGACCTTCAAGAGGTCACTCTAGAGAGACTGCATTTCTCCATTTCCTGGTTGTCTTCTATGAGGGCTGTACCCTCAGGTAGACCCAACCCCCCAACTCTCCCCTCTCCCCAATCCTCCCTCCCTCTTCCCCAGTTTCCTCATAGCTTCCAGCAGCTCTGGCCTTTCGTACTCCTTTAACAAGCCAGCTTTGCAAAGATCACCTCTTTCCTCGGCAGTCCTGCCAAAGCCCTGTTACAAAACATCGCTGGCTAGAGGTGGGTTGTTCTAACACAGTGATTCTAAGGGTGGCCCCCAGGTCCATCCCAGGAGCCTCAACCGGGAACTTGTTAGATACAAATTCTAACAACCACATTTGGAATCATAAATTTTGAGGTGGGGTCCAGTGACCCATCTTAACAAGACTTCCAGATGATTCAGATGTCTGCAAAAGTTTGAAGGCCATGTCTTCCATTCTTAGACATACTCTTGGGCTCAGGGATAACAGACATTGAGTAGTCCAGCATGAGCAGCTTGTTCATTTCAGGAGCCAGGAACCTGTCAGCTTCATGCAGCCCAGGTGACTTAAAGGTGAAGTGGTGTGGGTTATGGAGGGAGTAGCTTCCCAAAGGAAAATTAGGTGTTATTATAAAAAAAAAAAAAAAAGCAGCAGTTGGGCCTCCCTGCTGGTGCAAGGGTTAAACTCTCAGCACTATCAAGCTATCACCAGCCACTGCAGTGTGAGTTCGATCCCAGTCAGGGAGCTAATCCACATATGGCACAGCAGACCTCTTCTGTCTCGCCCAATGTTCCCCTAAGCATTGTATTTCATTAGATCTATCTCTTCTGTTTCCCACTCTGTCTCTGGTGAATCCTCTCACCACCCCCTTCACCTCTAGCCTGCAGCCCAGTACTTGTATTCATAAATAAATAAAAATGAATCCTAAAAACTACCATAAAAGCAAATATTTGATAATGATGCCTGAGTCCTGTTTATTGTATCATTACCACAGGTGAGGGCAAAAGAGGCTTCCCTTCCTGTAGTGGTTTCAGTATCCAATCACCTTCTTGAATGGAGAAAAGTAGTAGTTGTGTCCTTTAGCTTGAGTTACCACCATCTCACATTCTCCTTTATAGGATGGGGCATTCTGCGTGGCTATGTGCACATGTAGGATGCAGACAACTACTTGGATGGGGCCAGTAATCAGCTCCCAACTGAGGCCATGTCAAGTGTATACTGTATTGAATATTTTGGTTTTTGGAACTGAATATTTCATGTGGAAACAAATTAGACCTGAAAGACACTGTTGGGGTGCTGTGACTTCCTGTTTGAATCTCATCTATGCTCATCACAGGTACAATGGTGGGAGACCACACCCGTTTGGAATTCCACAACATCGAAACGGGTATCATGACTGAGAAACGCTACATCTCCGTTGTCCCCTCCAGTTTCATTGGCCACCTGCAGAGCCTCATGTTTAATGGGCTACTCTACATTGACCTGTGCAAAAATGGTGACATTGATTACTGCGAACTAAAGGCTCGTTTTGGACTGAGGAACATCATTGCCGACCCTGTGACCTTCAAGACCAAGAGCAGCTACCTGAGCCTGGCCACCCTCCAGGCCTACACCTCCATGCACCTCTTCTTCCAGTTCAAGACCACCTCAGCAGATGGCTTCATTCTCTTCAACAGTGGTGATGGCAATGACTTCATTGCAGTTGAACTAGTTAAGGGGTAAGTGGTAGTCAAAGGGTCAGGGGTAGTCAAGGGAAAGTTGTTTATGCTTAGCCCTTAGCTCAAGCCCTACAACACGTAAAGACATGAAAAGAGTGTCCATTCAACCTACTACCTTCTATTCTTGATAACCCACTCTCAACTTCATTGATTAAAGTTATCTATGGAATGAGTAGGGTTGGAAGGGAAAGCAATTCATGAGCTGAAAGATCTTCCATTAACTCAGTACTACCAGACTTTTGACTATGAAAAGGAATGCTTTAAACATGTGGAAAAATTTACTTTTGCAGAAGAGGGATATAAGTTGTGTTGCATCTCTCTACAAAGCCCAAGTTTATTAATTTATTTACAATGCCCAAATTTATAAGAAGAAATGATATATAGATATTTCAGCACTACCTGTAACCCATATAAGCAGTTTTTTGAAAGTTGTCCTTTCTTCAAAACATTTTACTATCATGTGTTGGTGGGGACTGCCTTGTGTCAGTTACACACATTTTGCTGTTAAGCCACTTTGAGAATCTCAGGACACCCATGGTCATTTTGCCTTGTAGGTACATACACTACGTGTTTGACCTTGGAAATGGCCCCAATGTGATCAAAGGCAACAGTGACCGGCCCCTGAATGACAACCAGTGGCACAATGTGGTCATCACCCGGGACAACAGTAACACCCACAGCCTGAAAGTGGACACCAAGGTGGTCACTCAGGTTATCAATGGTGCCAAGAATCTGGATTTGAAAGGTAAATCTTGTAAGGTATTTTTTATTACTATTTAATGAAGTACATTTTTCTTGTTACATCCTTTCAAAATTTTAAACAGTAGAGGATTTCTCCCTTCATGGTCACCATAGACCTCCCACCATCAAAGCACTATAGTCTATCACCATAGTCCCTGCTCTTCCCCCTGTTTTCATGCTGTCCCTCTCCCTCCCCCCCCGGATCCTTTAGATCTATGAACAGCTTTCAAGATTTGTGTTTGTGCCTTTTTTGGTGTCTCTGCATTCTACTTCTAAGTGAAACCATGCAGTATTATCTTCCTCCTTCTGACTTATTTTGCTTAGTATAATCTCTCCATCCATTAAAGCTTGTAAAGAAGTTTATCCTTCTTTGAGCATTTCTTACCATTGAAAGGCTGTTTCCAGAGTCTGACTTCAGGTTAGGCATGTCAGACATGTGTGATGCAACTTTCAAATGTTGTTTGAACAATATCACACTCTTCCCTAGTGAAATGTGTTCCATGTGTGCTTGGCCCACTCCTCAAGGTGTGGTGCTTTTCTCTGTCACCTCAGGCAGTGGGAGCTGAGGCAGCAGGTGATAAATATCACCTGTGGAGGGCCCTAATCCAGAGGGAGGATTATGGGTTTTGGAATCTCAGCAGAATCACTCGCTGCTCGGGTGACTTTGGTCGCATTTTCTGTCTTGTTCAGCTTCTGTGTACTTTTTTGCAAAACGAGGATAATGATTGTTACTACCTTTATGGCTTGTTAGGTGTTTTGATGGCCTCATGTTTGTGAAGCCCTCAGCATGTCAGTAACAAGCACATAAAAAGCGCTCAATAAATGGTGGTATTGTTGAAATGTTATTCATCTTTACTTCATCATAAAATGGAAATGATACCTACCTCAGAGAATGGGTGTAGTGATTAAAATTAGTGAGATGACATGTATAAAATGAGTAACATAATAAACATGATAAACATTACTTTCTTCTTTTTACATTGTAAACACTCTGGTAATTATTTCATAGATTCCATTTCCCCCAGACTGTATTATCTTTGCCTAGTAAATGGTCAGAAGCACTGGGGCTCTAGTTGACATGGGTCCATGTCCTTTACTCCTTTGCTTTGTTGCTTTTCTTTTCAGGTGACCTCTACATGGCGGGCCTGGCCCAAGGCATGTACAGCAACCTACCAAAGCTTGTAGCCTCCCGGGATGGCTTTCAGGGGTGTCTGGCCTCAGTGGACTTGAACGGGCGCCTGCCAGACCTTATCAATGATGCCCTCCACCGGAGTGGACAGATCGAGCGTGGCTGTGAAGGTACAACTTCTTTTCTTTATAAGCTACAGCATTGTTGCAAGCACCGAGCCTCTTTGCTGCACCTGCCAGTGCCTCCTTCCTCAGTTTACTGGTCCTCTCTCATTCCCATTCGCCATCTGACATTGCATCACCATTGGTGTCCTTCTGTCACTGGCTGTATGTCAAGACATGTGCCACAAGCTCCAGGAATGTTTGTGGGCAGATGTCTTCCCAGTGTCACATACTGGTCAGTAGAAGTCCTTTCCTGGCATTGACTTCTGGCTTCTTCTGACGTGTGCCTTTGCTTCCAGCATGGCTGATAGGGCAACAGGGAATTCTGTTTGTATTTTTACACATGGGGGGTTACAAATCAGACTTTCGTATGGATACCCCCTCAAAAAATGTTCCCTATGTCAGTGATGGCAACTGCATTATTTAATGCAAACTCAGCAAGACTAGGAAAACAATGTCAGAACTCCATAAAGAGTTGAGGAAATGAACATTTATTGAGTACTTACTAGCTATCAGGCATTGTCAGGCAGTTTCTTAATGTGGTGTGAAAGAATTGCTTGGGTTTCCATCTTAGAAAGTCCTGGACTTAGGTCTAGGTGATAACTTGTTTTTTCCCCCCATTTGAATAGATTATTTTATAAATTTTCAATATTTTGACTTATTCTGTAGGATTCTATAGAGCTCCTCATATTTCTCTAATAATAGCATCTTACTTTTTTCCTGTATTTTTTTTAATTTTATTTGTTTTATTGAGGTAGCTTTTGTTTGCAATACTCTATACGATTTAGGGGAATAGATTCATACCTACTCAGATGTGTTACCATGTCCCACCTGTAGGTGGTTGCTCTTGTTAGCTGTGTGACATTTGGGGAGTTATTTAACCTCTCTCACCTAGATTGTCCTTTTCTATGAAACAGGACAATAACACTTACATTGAAAGGTAATTATATATAAAATAGAGATATATGGAGCATATGAAATGCCTGTTACATGCTTAGTAGGTACTCAATGAAAGATAAGATTATTTGTAAAATGTTCCTCATGTAGACATCTGATAACATTGCATGTCCACCCATACAGCACACAGCAAATGATGCTCAGCCTGTTTCTGAAGAGGACCCACTCTCTCTTGAGCTGTTAACTGGATTTAACCAGTTTTCCTGGATCTGTTCTCCAAAATAAAACCAATGTAGCTTAAGCCAGCAGAGGGTAGCAGTAAATATTTCCAGCCTTCCCTAGGGGCCTTGGACAGGCTGAGATGTCCAACCAGTCACCAAGATCTATGTATTTTTCCATCTGGTTGAGCCTCATGGTCCTTTGTTTGTGTAAATATATTGTGCTTTCTTGTATTGCTCACGAATTGACCACACCAAGTCTGTTCATTCATCGCCTAAGTGTTCAAATTCATTTATTATTTCTGTTCTTAACTCTCTTTTCTCTGGGTTCACTTTCCACCTTAAGCACATTTTTATAAAAGTTTTCCATCAGTTTTCCAGGCTGATGTGCAGAATGGAATTATTTCCCTGTGCTTACGAGTCAGTTTCCCATGAGGCACTATTATGAAGAGCTTTTGTCCCTCTCCTTTACCTAGAATATTTCCTTTAACCAGAAATATTCTTCAATTCTATTGGCCAAATGTGATGTGTATATGTGAGGGCACAGGAGGTCAGGAATCATCCTGGGAGGAGCCACGCTGCTTTCTTCTTCTGGAAACACACAATTTCATTTGACTTGAGGATCTTTGTCTCAATGGCCTGCTGTTACTTCTTTCAGGTGTTAAGAGCAATCCCAAGGTAGATGAGCACTTGAGAACAAAATTGAGATGCTTAGTTTAGAAGATGGTGAAGGGCAGGAATTCTGGTTCTTGTGGGATCATTCATCCTATCAAAAGCACATATTAAAAAGCATAAGGCACTCTTCAAATGTTAAATTTTTTTATCATGACTTCAGTTCTTTGAGGTTTAAAATTGAACAAAAATCATCCATTTCACTATAAAGCATTGTTGCCTAATAGAAATATCAGGTGAGTCACATGTAATTTTTAATTCCCTACTAGCAATATTTTACAAAGTATGGAGTAATAGGTAGTCTTATTTTAATTTTGTAGCCTATTTGACATAGCCCACTATGTCCAAAATATTACCAGTTGAGTATACTATCCATATAAAATTATTAATGACATGTTACATTCCTTTTTCATATTAAGCCTACAAAATTGAGTGTGTATTTATACTTGCAACACATCTCAATTCCAAATATGCGTATTTTCAGTGCTCAATAGCTAAGTGTGGTAGAGGCTGTCTCTGCAGCATGTAAAACTGGAAGTGTGAGGAAATAGACCTGTCATACTGGGCTAGAAAGAAGTCTAAAAACTATTATAAAAGTGGGCTAAAATGTATAGTACAAAGGAGGAATGGACTTTACTTTGGAGAGTTTTAAAAGAGGCAGGGAGAGCATTAGCCCAAGAAAATTATCCATCAAATGGGGGAAAATGTGCCTCCTCTGACCTGCAGCTCTGTGTGCACTTGGCTGGACCCATCACATGCATTATGGGGTTCCCACCTTCCTCTGAGCATGGCTGATTGTAGAAGGCAGGCTTTGTGACTCGATTGCTCTACCATCGGCCTCTATGCAAGTTCCTGGGCCTAATAGCCCTGCACTCTATTGCCATGGAGATAATTGCGGTGGTTACCCATGCAGCATGATGGCCGCCCCACTGGGGGATGAAGTGGAGGGTGAGTGCTGAGGGAAGAAGATCCTTGTTTATTGTACACAGATGACTTGTATGATTAGCCTAAGGGGCCGGGAAAAATGGCCCAAATGTAGGTTAAGTCATAAATTAGAGGTACTGAAAGTTTGCACCATTGTGCATCAGCCCTTGTAAGAGATTCCAGGAGCTTTGTAGGGTACCATGGAAGATGATGGGGAGGGAAATGAAAAGCTCAAAAACTTGAAGAGACTGCAAAAGGGGATGTTCTATCCTGAATCTCTGCGCATAGCAGGGGTCTGCAGGAAGGCCTTTGAGTATCAGACAGTATGGGAGCCTGAGAAAATATTACATATCTTGATTTATTGTTTCTATGTATAGAGGAGTAAGTATGACTTATTACTAAGAATTAAGACCTGAGTCCCTTCAAGCTGGTGTATGTGTTTTATTCTTACACATCCAAGGTGCAAAGGCCAGGATAGATCATGTTGGTCTTGTCAACACTGTGGAGTATAACACTTCAAATTCCCCAAGCAGAAAATGTGTTATTTTCCCTATTCTATCTGACCCCAAGAGTCCAAAATTATTCTCAAAAACATTAATTCTCTGCTCTTTGACTTTAAACAGTTTATAGTAAAAAAGAAAAAAATCTTGAACTAGGTTTTTTGATTTTATGTCTCATATCTATGCAGAGCATATAATTTTGAAATTAAGTGCAGTTTCTGACCAACATAGCCAGCATCTAACTGTGACTTGCAACCTCTCGATGTGGGCTAGTTTTTATTTTTTATTTTTTAATGGTGTGTAATTCAGTACTTAACTGGTAAATAGCTCTTTCTATCTTGAGGCCAGCTCTTGTGCAGAGACCAAGGCATGTACTGGCTTGAAATGTGATTCCACAACTGCAGATGGTAAACATCCCAGAGAAACACATGTGCTTCATTTTGAGATTGGCATGAATAAATAAAAAGGACATTGGCTTGGTGCCTTTTTTCTCACAGTCATTTGGGTTTGACTGTATCTTTGTAAATTAAAACAAATGGAGCTCTTGGGTGTTCCCAAATCACCTGGATACATATGCCCAGAGCTAGTCCCACGTCCCTTGGTGGCAATTTTAAGAGGTTACCAGGACCGCCGCCCAGCGACTTTTCCAGGCTTAACTCAGAATAATTGAGAATTATCTTTGTGGGCTCCGTCTGGTTACACACACATGTCTTTCAGTCTGTCCATGCACCACCCTGACTTCCTGATGTTTATCCAGACGGATGGAAAGTCGTTTTTCTGGGCCATATGCCTGGGGTTGGCTGTGTGGGTGTGGGGAGGCCCTGTTGCCATTGCTTGTGCTGTGTCCAGTCCTGTGAACCCCTTCCCTTGCTCTGCTCGTGTGGCTCTGACGAGGCCTGCTCCTCCCTGGTCTGTACACCCCTGTCTGTGCTGTCTCTGGAGAGCCTGCAGAGCATTTCTGTTGTCTGTTCGAGTGATGTTGGTTATGCTGATTGTATTTTCATTTCTGTGATGTTACCCTGGTTTAACTCTACCTTTACTAACCTCTGGTTATTGTTTTCGCCTTTTCTGTTCTTTTGCTAACAAAGTTGCGTTGACCAAAGCTGACCTGCAAGGTAGAGAAGGTTTTTCTTCCCATCACCCCTTTCAGCTTAGGGATGCCCTGTGTTCCTTTGGCACCTTCTCTTCAGAGACCTTCAAGCTGTCACCCCTCTTGGACAGCAGCAGTTATGGGGAGGGGGCTGAACCATGAATTCTTCAGAAAATGGTGGCAGAAAACCCAGGTCAATATAGGAAAAAATAAAAATGAAAAACGACCAACAGGTTTCATGGTGAGACCTGTTAGGGATGAGAATGTGGTTTTGTTTATTGAGGCTGAAGTGGTTTGACAGCATCCTATACTGTGACTACCCACACCTTAGTAATCCACTTCTGGGGGCTTAGTTTCTCTCCACATCCTGGCCTTGGAAGGGGTACACCTTTCAGTTTATTCACTGTAGGTAGAAGGCAGCATTGGGAAGGAGGGTGGGGAGAGCCACTTGACTTCTTAATTTATTATTTCTGAGTTTGGAAGGTCATTTCTCAGAGCAGGACTTTTGAGTGCTTGGGCGATTTGAAAGAGAATGACATTTTCTCTTAATGCATTTTAAAGAAATATTTTTAGGCATTTGGGAGATATTAATGCCATTAGAACATTCTAGAGATTTATATTTCCTATTGGGGATTTTGGTTGAGTACTTCAATTTACTGTTTCATGATCTAAGAAACAAAGTACTCATGGGGAAGAAGAGGTGTGTCA